TGGGATAAAACAACGTATTTAATACATTTTCTGCGATATTTCGCTTACATTAAAGCCAGCATCGTTGTAAGCCCTTATTCATCCCTTTTTTCGTCGGATAACAAACATCCACTTGGCATTTTATTTCCAAATCATTAAAATGTTACCAGAAACATAAAAAAAAATTATTTGAATCCAAATAATTACCTCTAGCCGTTAAAATTGACATGTGTCGTATAGCTATGATACAGTTTCAGGCATGGCAAAAATCGGGCTTTTCTGCTTTTTTTAACGCTATTTAAAAACGGGTGGTCCAATCAGAGATAAAAAAATCATATTTTAAGCAGAATTCATTAAGCTTTAATTCTGCATACTTGAATTTGTTGTAATATGCTTCCCGACTTTCCTACGAGGGTCGAAACTAAAGTTTTCGGGGTGTCGTATAATTGTGGGCAGGAGTGTATTGGTCGAAAGTAACGTGATGGCCTTAAAAAGAAACTGAGAAACGTATTTGACTCAGAAGCTGAATGGGAAAAATATGTCCATTAAATAGTTTATGAAGGAACATCGCTTGGCAGGTCCGCCGATCCTTAAGGTCCAAAAGGCGTAGTCTATCGCATAAGAAGGGAGGCGGCGAAGTGGGTCCCAGTCTAAACCCCGAAGAGCGAACAATAGGATTTGTTTCCAATTGTGTCCAAGTTCTACATTGATCACAGCAGAATTGACGAAATTATGCAAAGTTGAACGAAGGTCGTTTGATATTCAATGTATGAGTAACACAAAGTTTAAAGCGCTCTCTCCAGGAAGTGTAATTTTGGCAATCGGTGTACACGATAACTCAAAATGTACTCAATCAGTTTGAAATTTGAAACATAACTTCTTTAACTAATTGTAACCCTAAAAGCACTTTATGATTCTTTCCCGTTTAGATACATTAGAGGGTAAACCGATTTGATTTAGATATAAAATTTAACAGTGACATAATACACTGGCTCTTAGCAAAATAGTTTTGTGATTTTAATTATTGCTTTCATTCTAGTTGTTTATTAGCTATTATAATTAAATCTAAATTAAGGGACAAGCACTTAGTTAAATTTCTCCACTATTGAAATGCAACAGGGCGTAAAGCAACAACTAAAATGATGTATCATTATATATCGGAGAAAGAGAAATAAACCGTTCCATAATAAGCAACTGCGACACACATCTTCGGCAACAGAATCTGTTCCAAATGAATGCATATCTTCTTTGTTTCTCTCTCTCCGATCGAGAGGCCCAAAGGAAGACGCTGGCTGCACTTAACCTGAAAACGTAAAAAGTAAAACGTGCTACTTGCCATTCGAGCATTGGAAACTCGAACTTCCGACCGTAAATGAAATGAAGTGATACTTGGGGGGAGGAGGGGCCAGGGCGAGGGATATGACTGCGTGCCATTATATAGCATTGTGTCGGCCGGTGGCATATGAACTTGAGTGGAGTTCGAGTACCCGACTTACTACTAAAAAAAAAAGAGTACCCGCAGAACCAAAAACGGAAGAAGCCACCAAGGCGAAGACACAGGCCCAAAGGCAGACGTAGCAGCGGCAGCAGCAGCACCACACACCATAATCAGTGTTCCATTGAACGCACAAAATCATTTAGCGAAACCAACAAAAACAAAACACAAAGAGGAGCGAGGGCCCTAGTTTGGAGGTGGATAGTATGCAGTGGTGCTGTGGTGTGGAGTAAACTAAAGCCTGCCACCCCGACGAGATCCAAGCCGAGCCAAACCAATCCTATCCAAAACCAAAGCGAACCAAAAAGCACTTGAAACTGTTTTTTAAAAGAGTCTCCGAGAGACTGCGAACGCCAGTCCAAGTAGGGTAAGAGCAAAGTGTTTGTTTTGGAGAGTACGGAGTATCTGGTAGGGACCACAGATGCACACAGAGAAATTTAAGTTGTGAGTTCTGAAAGTATTCCTTTCGAATATGGATTTACAAGAGATTGAAGAGGAGAAAGGTATAGTTTTGCAAATACTATTGACAATATCCTGTAGGTAACCTTAAGCTTATCATTTTCTCAACACTCATTAATAGATTATACAATTTAATAGATTTTTTGCGTGTACGACAGTTGGATGAATGAATATAGTCGGCTGGCAGTACTAGTGGCTCATGGAGTAGGTTCAAAGCACGCTACGTAGCAGACCAAGACCAGCCAAGACGATGAGTTGAGTTTTATAGCAAATTGAATTGTCTTTGTTGCTATGCGTGTGTGTGTGTCTGTCTGGTGATGTTGCATGAATCACGTGACCATGACCACCTCTGCAATGCCATAGGCCAAGAACAAGCGTCAGGAAAAAGCCGGCCGGGCCAGCTTCTCGCTTTTGTGCTCTGTATATGGACGCATCCGCAATTTGAGCCTCGCTCAGGAGATTATTTACTTTCATTAGGGGCAGCCAGCAGACGAAACTTGTCGTGTAGCAAGTGCAAACTTGGTCTAATAAACAGCCATTAGACGCTTGGCTGGGATCATGCATGAAATGGCCAGCAGAACGTTCGGTTCTAACAAGATTTACCTCGGGTCGAATCGCACTTACCTTATTCGGATGACGTCTTTTACGTTCGCCTTGAGTTTCTGCCGGAATAGGTGAGGACGATTGTAGTTTGGCCTCCTGGCGATCTGCCATCAAAGGAATTAATAAATATAAATAAGAGTTAAACATTTCTCTTCCATAAAAATCTCTAATCTACTCACATTTCATTTCGATCTCCTCGTCGTCCAATAGCAACGAGACCACTTCCTTTGGCTTGAGTGTGTCGGGTTTGAAATTGCCGCCACTTATGACCATGCGTTGTATCTGGAAAATAAAAGCGGGGGCGAAAAACCCCAGTAATCGATTGAAAGAAAGAAATCGGGAATTCAAGGCAGGAAATGAAATAAAACTCGTACAGGGTTAGCGCCTTAGAGTTCCGGAGTTCGTCGGCAGCTACTTATTTGTCGGCCCGAAATACTTTTATATGGTAATCGAGGGACTTCTGTTTCGGTAATTAAATGCAATAAATGCACAAGAAAGCGAAGAAGTGTTCGTACTTATGAAGAACCCAGGAGGCGTGACAGAAATGTCTCCTAACCAATTGTATAATTAATTTCCGGTGTTGGTTTACTACCAACTCAACCCATTCCGATCCCATCCACAAGTGCTCGTGTTTCGCATTGAGTATTTTTTTATAGAAACCCAAAGGCGCAACAATGCCCAGGGATGGGGATTTTAGGATGGCTCTTTTTTACCAACAAAGCACGTGCCTAATATGCGACTGAACAAAGGAAAAATGGTGCAACCTGAAGAGTTTGCGGTTTGCTTAGGGTTTGCTTGGGGTTTGGTTGGGTTTCCTGTCCCTGATCACTCACTCACCTCGCTTTTTTCTCGGGCCCTTTGCAGAATCCTCTCCTCGATAGTTCCTTTGCAGATCAGTCGGTAGACGGTCACCTGTTTGGTTTGGCCCAGACGATGAGCTCGATCCATGGCCTGTTGATCAACCGTGGGATTCCAGTCGGAATCGTAGAAGATTACCTAAAAGTCGGACAAATATTTTTATTTTTCACTTATAATGATTATAAATATTCATCAAATAAATGTTGGAATTTGTATTTTGTATAAGAGCTCTGATTTAATTAATCAAGATATTATAGGAAAATTATAAAATAATATTTATCTACAATTATTGGTAATACAATCCAAATAAGAGGATAGGTATAACATTCTCATTTCTTGCTGAATGGTTCCACTTGGTATGCAAATGGTAGCTCCACACGCGCATCCTTTCGCTACTCTTTTGATGAGTTCGAACCTGCATACATTAATAGTTCCTTCCCCGAATTCGGCCAACCTATAATCCACTTTGTAGTGTCACGCATTTTCCGCTTTTCCTGTCCTTACCCATCTATTATCTGGAGTAAGGGAAACGTCTCGCACCGGGGTTAACATTAACCCTTCGTTGCCCTTGTCGAGCTGCACTTGGTACGTGTTTGATGTGCAAGTGTTCAGCGATTCCTCGTCGCAATCTCTCAAGGGGTTCGTTGGTGGAGTGGCATTTCCGGCTGAGAGATGGACCTAATTAAAATCGAACTCCTCAAGGGATTGATGTTTTCCTTTTTATTTGGAACACGTGTTGAGATCTATTCAGAAGCGAACCAAATAGGTGAACCCCTCAAGAAAAATGTCTATGAAATCGGAATCGGAATGAATATATCGCGCAGGAAGTCTGCCATTAGAAAAAAATCTAACCCTCAGTTTAATGAGTTTTATAAATTTCGAGATCTATATATGTAAATAATATATGTGCCTTGTGGTTTTTATACTTTTGTTTTTGTGAATGAAATAATAAGAAAATGCAGAACTATTTTACATCGAGTTTCATAAATTACCTGATCTTTTCTGTACAAATGTTAGCTATTTAATTTTTTTCCTCTTAAAAATAAATACCAAATGGGACTTCATTTAAGACAACGTCTTCAAAATACGATGTCATATGGATATTAATTCTAAATAAATACAACGTTGACTTAATTCAAGTCTATTTCAACATTGAAACCAGTAAACAAATCGGAAAATATTACAAATCCATAGAAAATTTATTGATTATAATAGTGTGAATCACTGTATATTAGCTATATTTTCCCGATCATTGCAAATCTGTCTGAAAAAGTAAAACACACTTTCAAAGGGTACAATAAATACCTTGTACAACCCTTATCGGGTAACTCTATTACCTACATTTTAAGTACCTTCCAAGTGAGTGAAACCCAAAGATTGGTAATCGAAATAGTCGCTGCCTGAAACCACACTACACTGCTCGATAAGGCGCCGCATGGCTTTTGCGGGCCAACAATCTATTTAACCCAGTTGACAATATTATTTACTGGCTTAAAAAACGCTAATTAAGTGCTACTTGGGCGATAAGATTTGGCTTTCAGCTAAAGCAAGTACTTTAGTTGGCACATAAGCTGCTAACGCTTGATCAGTCCCATTCCAACACTCGACGATCGACGATGAAGTTCTGGCTGGGAATTACGTTGGCTCTGTTGGCCTTAGCCCAAGGCAATGGCAGTGTCTTTGAGAGGACCTTCAAGCGTCTTCATGAAGAACCCGAACAGCCGGCCACTCAGAACCGAGCTGACATAGTGCAGACCCTGTGGATTGAGCAGAAATTGGATCACTTTGATGCCTCAGAGACACGCAGTTGGCAAATGGTAAAGCACAATCCTTTATTGATTGTTTTGATTGGTATACCTTTGCGGTAACTGAAGTTTATATAATCTAATATAATTTTTAAAATCCTTTATCCTTGCAGCGCTACATGCTCAATGATGCTCTTTACAAGTCCGGTGGACCCCTGTTTATTTATCTCGGCGGAGAATGGGAGATCTCTTCAGGAATAATAACTGGTGGCCACATTTACGACATGGCTAAGGAGCACAATGGTCTTTTGGCCTACACTGAGCATCGCTATTACGGACAGAGCAAGCCCCTTCCGTAAGTAGATCGTTTGAGTAAGAAATAATTCACTAAAGAATCCACTCTTTACAGTGATCTCTCCAATGAGAACATCAAGTATCTTACTGTTAATCAGTCCTTGGCTGATCTTGCTCACTTCATCGACACCATCAAATCGACTCATGAGGGTCTAGCCGACTCTAAGGTCATCATTGTGGGTGGCTCCTATTCCGCTACCATGGTCACCTGGTTCAAGAAAGTGTATCCCGACAAGGTGGCCGGCGGATGGGCGTCCAGTGCGCCACTCTTGGCCAAGGTTAACTTTGTTGGTGAGTTTAGTTCTTAACACAGATTTGAAACTCTAGAAAGCATTGCAGAATCTCAATAAATTATTCTGCTTACAGAGTACAAGGAAATCACTGGGCAATCCATCAAACAGATGGGTGGCTCCGACTGCTACCAGCGTATTGAGAACGGTATTGCCGAGATGGAGACCATGTTCGCAACCAAACGCGGAGCTGAGGTTAAGGCCCTTCTCAAGCTGTGCGAACCCTTCGATGTCTATAGCGACCTGGATATCTGGACTTTGTTTAGCGAGATTTCCGACATCTTTGCGGGCGTGGTGCAGACTCATAAGTAAGTGAGAAGCTACCCAGAGATTATATAAAATAATAAACATTCGACCTTAGCGCTGGTAAAATCGAAGGTGTTTGCCAGAAGATAATGTCGGGTTCGAATGATCTCATTGGTGTTGCCGGCTACCTGTTGGATGAGTTCGGTGAGAGCGGAGCCAAGTGCTACGACCTGAGCTATGATGCTATTATTGGAGTGCTCCTGGACACCACCTATAACGGCAATATCAGTGAGTAAACTTTACATATTTCATTATAATCGTTAATATATTTGTTTTATTTAACGCATACAGTGCGCCAGTGGATATTCCAGACCTGCAATGAGTTCGGTTGGTATCAGACATCCGGCTCAAGCGACCAGCCCTTCGGCACCAAGTTCCCCGTCACCTTGTACACCACCATGTGCGCTGATATTTATGGCTCTCAGTATGGCAACGCGTTCATCACCAACCAGGTGAGCACCACCAATGCTTACTTCGGTGGGTTGTCTCCGGGCGTGGAAAATGTTTACCTAACCCATGGACAATTGGATCCCTGGAGGGCCATGGGAATTCAGGATGCAGATCAGGCAACCGTCATTCCAGGTGTGTTTTTGGGTGTTTAAATTAATCAAAAAGAATTTACGAAATTGGCTTTCCTACAGAGTATGCTCACTGCAAGGATTTCAATTCGATCAGCTCCAGTGACACGGCTGAGATGAAGGCCTCTAAGGAACGCATTGCCGAATTGGTTCGCGAATGGGTTAAATAATCTGAGATAACCGCTCAGTTAATGAAAACTCAGTATATATATACATTTCCTACACGCAGCATATATGCTTTAACACAATCAAGATAATCGGCGATAAGACTTAAAGGAAAATCTAATCAATATGTGTTACTGATTGTTGATTTGTATCGATTTGTCAAGAATAAAACACGCCCTTTTTCAAGGATTTAAAATATTATTATTATCAGGACAAACAAAGTAGATAATAACACTGCTCGTTTCTAATATAAATTTTAATTGTTTTATAGAAACTGATAACTCAAATACTTTTATTCAGAAAATGCTCGCTGATTAGGTAATCACATAGCAGCTGTGATTTTGATTGTCATGCAGCCATAAATAGGGATTTCCCCACTAGTTCCACCTAAGATTCACATGAATTCGGATCGATTTACGATGGACTGCAAGCAAACAGGAATTCTAATCTCAAGTTTGGAGGCTATCATATCATGTCGCCGGTCACTTATCAGAAGTGTAAAATTTACAATCCTTATCGTAGCCGCAAATTACTCTATAACGCGACGATGGTCAACTTATAAGGCTTAGACGGTCCAGTTAGTGGGTTCATTTGTGAAAATGGCCGCGGTTCGTTTGGTCTGTCTGGCAGTGGTTTTGGTCCTGGCACTAGGTCAAGCTCTGGAGACCTCCAAAGTAAAGGATGTTCCCGTTTTGGTCAGGACACTCAAGAACTTAAGCCGCGGTCCGCCACAGCAAGTGGTTACCAAGCGTGCGAATGTCCAGGAAAAATGGATCACCCAGAAGCTGGATAACTTTGACGAGACCAACACCGAGACTTATCAAATGGTGAGTTGATGCAAATAAACTTTGAAGTTTCACAAAACTCAAATTACTTGGTAACAACTGCGTTTAGCTTTTTACAAATTCTTGTGAAAAATATATTTGATGGCTATTTTACAATATTTTTCAGCGTTATTTAATCAACGATGAATTCCAAACGGAGGGCAGCCCCATTTTTATCTACTTGGGCGGCGAGTGGGAAATCGAGCAGAGCATGGTCAGCGGTGGCCATTGGTATGACATGGCCCAGGAACACAATGGTGTCCTTGTGTACACCGAACATCGTTACTATGGACAAAGTATTCCAACCTCGTAAGTTCCTTCCTCTTCTCTACTTTCTTTGTAATGGTAATAGTTTGATTTACCAATAGCACCATGTCAACGGCGAACCTCAAGTATCTGCATGTGAAGCAGGCTCTGGCCGATGTGGTCAAGTGCATTGAGCTTTTGAAGTCGGAGAATCCCCAGCTGGCCAACTCGAAGGTGCTTTTGGCCGGCGGTTCTTACTCAGCCACCATGGTGGTGTGGTTTAAGCGCCTGTACCCAGACCTGATTGTCGGTGGCTGGGCCTCCAGTGCCCCCCTTCTGGCCAAGGTTGACTTCACCGAATACAAGGAGGTGGTGGGCAGGGCTTTCCTCGAGCTGGGCGGCCAGAAGTGCTACGATCGCATCCAGAATGGCATCGCCGAGCTGGAGTCCATGTTCGCCAATAAACGTGGAGCTGAGGCCAGGGCCATGTTGCGTCTGTGCAACAGTTTCGATGACCAGAACGATCTGGACTTGTGGTCATTGTTTGGAAGTATCTCGAACGTCTTCTCGGGCGTGGCTCAGTACCAAAGGTGGGCAAATGAGTGTTCTCATTGTTAATTAATTAATTAATTAATTAATTTTCATTTAAATTACTTTCGCAGCACTGGAGACATTGAATACTACTGCGACTACCTGTTGAGCTTCCGTGACGATGCTACGGCCATTGCCAACTTTGTTTACTGGGGCTGGGGAATGCCCAGCTGCATCGATGCCACCTACTCGAGCACCGTCGAGTACTACCTGTGGGGAGTGGATCACTTCGACGCAGGTATGATGAATATTCAGATTCGAAAGGCCACCTCCTAAGCTCTCGTTCTCCATCGTAGGTCGTCCCTGGTACTATCAGACTTGCAATGAGTACGGCTGGTACCAGAGCTCTGGCTCCAGCAACCAGCCCTTCGGCACCAAGTTCCCCGCCACCCTGTACACGACCCTCTGCGGAGATGTCTTCAGTTCGCAGTATGGCAATGCCCAGATCAACAGCAACGCGGCACAGACCAATGAGGACTTTGGTGGTATGGAGCCGGGAGTGGAGAATATCTACATGACCCACGGCGCTCTGGATCCCTGGAATCCGATGGGCCATGGCGTCGCCGAGGGAGCCACCCTCATCGCCAATGCCTCGCATTGCTCTGACTTTGGATCTATCAGGTCCACTGACTCCGCGGAACTGCGGGCCTCAAAGGAAAAACTTGCTGAGTTAGTGCGTCAATGGTTGGCCTAAGTGGTTGCCAAATATCAGCAGAGATTTTTGATATTATTTTATATAATAAAGGAATTATACAAATTCATCGCTTTTACTGTTTTCTTTTAATATAAAATATGAGTAACTTTTAATGGAAATTTCTTAGCAAAAAGTAAGCAAAGCATTTCAGTCATTAGCAACTAGTTTGTAAGCGAGAAAATGTAGATAGGAATTTAAACATCAAGAAAATTTTAAATGATATATTTTTAACAAAAACCACGTTTTGTAGGGCTCAATTAATATTTTACATAATCCCCTTTTAGTATATAAACTTACTTATAACAACAAAATCTTTCAACTTTCCCTAGCTGTTTGTCCCTTTGGCAATTGGAAAAATACAGCTTTTCTTTCAAGAGGTGGACGCCTAAGAGTATGCAACGAAAGTTGAGTCAGGAACGGATAAGTGGGGAAAAAGCTATTCAAAATAAGAAAGTGACCAAGTTTTCACAATAATGCTATTCATAGTGACAGCAAGTTACATTCAAATAATACTAATTTTATTCTTACTCTCATAAAAATGTATTACAATTCTAGTCAGAAGTCTAGCCTATGAAAATGCATTTTTTGCTTAATTATTATACATTTTCATTACCCAATTGCAAACTGCAAGGGTATAGTCACTTCAGTTTGCTGGGTTACCTTTTCTTTTTGTTAAAAAATAAGTTTTAAAATATTTGTTTATAAAATTTTAAAACAAAAATCGGTCAGTTTGTAGCTATACAACCATAGAAAGTTCGATCCCATTTCTAAATATTTCGTATTATTATTTAATGTGTCAAAAATGTTTATTAAAACTATATCGCGTAGTATTAATACATAATATTATTTATATTATATAATTGATTATTCGTTAAGTCTCATTAAAGTTATACAGGGTGACAATAAATAAACCGGACAAATTTTGAAGCAATCGATTATAAATGTGTTATGATGCAGCCCTTAAATAAATGCATTTATAGATAGCTTATACTTTTCTGAAACAAATATATTTACATTTTTGTGATTTCCATCAATTTGATATTTGATTCGGGATGTCTAATAATTGTTGTGCAATTTTAAAACTGTTTGGACAAGGAAATCGCCAATGCGACATTGTTCGTTTGCTTGGCATACCAAAACAAACGGTCTCTGACGCTATCCGGCGATTTAATGAGTTTGGCCATGAAGGTGACCGTCCCGGACGAGGCAGACCATGCATGGCTAAAACTTCCAGAATTCGCCAGATCGTGAAAAAGCGGATCACTCGGAATTGCAGAGTCTCGGTCAGAAAAATACGCCATGAAATCGGAGTGAATCGAGAAAGTGTTCGGTTGATTGCAAAAAATGAACTTAATCTCAAGCCCTACAAGCTCCAAAAAGTGCACCTTCTTATGGATGACAATAAGTGCGTGAGACTCCAAAGATGCCGTCAGCTAAAGCGTCGGGCCGCAGGTCAAAAATGGGAGCATATTCTCTTCACGGACGAGAAGATATTCACCATCCAACAGGCGCACAATCACCAAAATGACGGAATCTGGTCGGCTGAAGCTCCAGGTACCTCTGCAATAATCGAGCGCCGTCAATGTGAGTAGTCTTGAATGGTTTGGGGAGGAATATGCGCCACTTGAAAAACTCCCCTTGTTTTCATCGATCAAGGGGTCAAAATCAATCAGGCAGTGTACCGCCGGGACATTTTGGAAACTGTTGTGCTTCCTTGGGCCCAGCAGTACTTCGCTGATACGGAGTGGACGTTTCAACAGGATTCAGCGCCAGCCCATAGAGCCAAATTGACTCAGGACTGGTGCAAAGCCAATTTTCTGGACTTTATCATATCCAGTGAATGGCCACCTTACTCGCCAGATCTTAATCCGATGGACTACAGTGTGTGATCTATTTTGGAGTCCAGGGCATGTGCTAAACGCCACATAAGTTTGGAGGCGCTGAAGCAATCATTGCTCCAAGAATGGGATCGATTATCGGAAGAAGACCTGCGGCCCATTGCGCTAAATTTCCAGAAACGTTTAGGGCTCTGCATCGCAGCCCAATGAAGCCACTTCGAAACCGGCTAAATATATATGATAACACAATACCTATTTAATAGTTGTGCATCTGCATTTTTTCTCAAATACAGTTCCTTAAATAGTTATGATCAAAAATGTTTGTCCGGGTTATTTATTGTCACCCTGTATGATTCTAACCAATGATTTTATTAAAAGTTCCCTGTATTTCATAATACAACTTATTCAAGAGCTAATAAAATTACGTTTGTTGATGTCGTTCGTTGGTAAACGATTTCTGTCTTACATCATGTTAACACCCCAGTGTATTGTTCAAGGAACACGTTGAATCAATATTTGTCAATATTTGGTAGACAAACAATGGTCAATAAACTGGTCAGGTTTGATTGAAGGGGATTTAAGAGACAAGTGCGAAATGATAACATCGCACGTGTAAAAGTACACTATCCTACTGGGTAATGAATAGGGTACTCCAATTATTAATATTTTTATTATTATGAATATAGAACAAGTTGATTAATTGCAAAATATATGTAGTTAATATTTTTGAATTTTTAAAACTTTTACAGAAAAAGTTCCACCTAAGAATATTTTTTCTAGTCCTACTAACTACTTATTATTATTCCAATATAAGCACAAATCAACACTGCCGAAATATATACACCCTTGCAGATATAGGATAACAAAGCTGCTTAAGTCAGAAAAGAATCCAATAAAATAAATTGTATCCTTATTGTCCTTAGTCTTTCCATTTTGTTTAGACTTTCAAGTCACCAAATGTTAACTCGCAAGAGCACAGAATGTAATCAAAGCGCTATGTCTAAATTAAATTGTACTGTTCTTAGTTGTATAATCATAGCTATATTTTAAGGAAAATAACAATACTTTGCCTATCCATTGTGGCATATCCTTAGACAAATGGAATGATTTTAATTAATAGAAACTGTAGTACCATCCCTATAAATAATCCCAATCTCAGTTCGTTCTCAATTAACCAAATCCTTTTCTATTCATTGACTTTAAAATAACTTACATTACAATTATTGAGTGAGAAAATATGCAAGACTTGCGCAAGTTCTTTGCCTTTGCGAAGGCCAAAATGCCTTGAAAATGATACGAGCTCTGAGCCCTCGACTTTATCAGGGCAATATATTTTCCGAATATTTGTTTGTATTTCCATTAAGTCATCGAAGACCCTATCTCAAGGGTTGAAGCGGTTGTCCGGTAGCGAATATTTTGAATAAATAGCCCGCCCACGGCGTTGGGAAATCATTCGCAAACCAGAGAACTATCCAGCAATATGAAGTATTTCCTAGTAGTCCTAGCAGTACTAGCACCCCTGACTGCAGCAGCCAGCCTGGGGGAGCAGAAGCCGAAGCCTAACGCCTTCGTCCAGTCCCTGAGGGACTTGCATCGGGGTCCACCAGTGGAGCCCTCAAAGACCAGAGCCAAGGTGGAGGAGCGTTGGATCGACCAGTGGCTGGACAATTTTGATGAGCAAAACAACGCAACTTGGAAGGACGTAAGTACTTTCAAAAAGTGTAATGACCAAACAATACTATCTTTGTCGTATCTTCCAGCGCATCTTCATCAACGAGCGCTACTTTGTCGACGGTTCCCCCATTTTCATTTACCTGGGCGGTGAATGGAAGATTTATCCCGATAGCATCACCTCTGGCCTCTGGAAGGACATTGCCAAGAAGCACAACGGCTCCCTCGTCTACACCGAACATCGTTTCTTTGGGGAGAGTATCCCAATAACGTTAGTACTCCTGCAGTTTTTTAAAGTACATGTAAATTAATAAAAATACTTATATTTCAGCCCACTTTCTACTGAGAATCTGCAAAAGTACCAAAGCGTCGAGCAGGCCCTGGCCGATGTGATCACCGTTATTGAGACCCTGAAGGAGGAGGACAAGTATAAGAACTCCAAGGTAGTGGTCTCCGGCTGCTCCTACTCGGCCACCATGGCCGCCTGGATTCGTAAGCTCTATCCTGACACCATTAAGGGCAGCTGGGCCTCATCGGCTCCGATACTGGCCAAGGTGGACTTCAAGGACTACATGAAGGTTGTGGGCCAGGCGTACGCAACTCTTGGCGGACAATACTGCTACGATTTGATCGACAATGCCACCGCCTACTACGAGGATCTCTTCGACAATGGAAAGGGAAAGCAGGCTAAGAAGGAGCTAAATCTGTGTGACGAATTCGATGTTGACAGCGAGCAGGATCGCTGGCAGATATTCAGCACCATTGCCAATATCTTCGCCGGCATTGCCCAATACCAAAAGTGGGACTCTTAACATTAACAGATTATTGGGAATATTTATTACCCATTATTTCTAGGCCTGAGAAGTACGACCTGCCCCAGTACTGTTCGGTGCTGCGATCCTTCAGCGACGACGATTCCGTGGCCCTGTCCAAGTTTATCAACTGGAAAATCCACGAGCACTCTGGCGAGTGCATCAGTGCTACCTACAAAGGAGCTGTGGGCTACTATGAATGGTCCAAGGAAAACTACGAAGATAGTAAGCCTTCACTCTGTTTAAATCATTTCTGATGCTAACAGATAATTTTCTCTCTCCACAGGCGATCTGCCTTGGATCTTCCAGACCTGCAGCGAGTTCGGTTGGTTCCAATCTTCGGCCAGCAGCCAACAGCCCTTTGGATCCACTTTCCCGGCCACTCTGTACGAGGACACCTGCGAGGGTGTCTTCGGGTCCAAGTACGACTCGGCTGGTATCCACGCCAAGGTCAGGAATACCAACAAGGTGTTTGGTGGCCTGGACGTGAATGCCACCAATATCTACTTTGTGCAGGGTGAGTTGGATGGCTGGAGCAAGGTGGGCGCAGGAGTTGCCCAGGGAGCCACCATTATCCCATTGGCCTCCCACTGCCCCGACACGGCATCTATCAGCGCCTCCGACAGTGCCGAACTGGTGGCCTCTAAGAAGAAGCTTATCAAGCTGGTGGCCGAGTGGCTGGCCGATGAGTAGCTATAATTATGCCTATTATTGAAGTATTCTTAGCTTAGAAGTTTGTTGTTATATGGCTTAACCGACGCCTAAAAATGTAATCAATAAATATAATAATTATTAATAACATATATTTGCTTTGAATTTTTAATCTTTTTGAAAATACTCAACGCATCAACTTAATAAATGTTGACAATTCTACAAAGGTTAACTAATTTTATTATCCTTTCTATAGTCTTTGAGATAATTTCATAAGTGGGCTAGGAAGTCTTCACTCTTAAATCCCACAAGTCCCCAATATAATTTACCCATTTCACCTTATGTCTGAGCTCTGAAGCAGCCACTTGTCCTTTGAACAATTTACAAATAACTCAAGTGGTGTCAATAATAACGATTGCCGTGAGTAACAAGAGATAAGTTTAATTACAGTGATCCCAAGACTAAAGAGAAAACAAGCGATGGCAAAACTTGAACAAAATAATCTTACAAATTTCAAAAGTGGCTTCTACAGTTCCGAAATTTCATATTTCCAGCTCAAGGTATTTGCAAATATGAGGCCATAAAAACTGACAATTTATGTACGCCACAAATCCATCAAAATGTTTCAAAAGGTGTGACCACTCCGACAGTCGATCACGGACCTACTTAGGCAGCCCCTAAAAAGTATGGTAAAGGGAGTGCGGGGCGGAATAGGATGAAGAGCGGCCATCTACACCCAATGAATTGCACTAAATCCAGAAACGTGACGGGCATATCAAGATCGATAGACAGTTCAGCTTGCCAGCTACTGAAATACTTTGCATTGCTTTAGAAAATATCATAAATCTTGAGGCCCGAATCGAGTCACGTATTATAAGGCCCTGAACAGGCTCCAGCAAAGCATAGCCAATGAACAAGGCCAAGTCAAACTTTTCTATATGAAAATCTGCTTATAAATACTTGACATTAAGTACAATTAAATCGTAAAATTCGTATCATTTCAAATGTAACTGGTACAGTTTTCTCTGTCCCTCTTTGAAATTCTTTTTTTAAACATTAAACGCCGAAAGCCCGAAGAAATGCCAAAGTGTTGAGTTTTGGTCAAATTATTTCGGTATGCGGCAAAGACATGAACGGGAAATTCTTCACTTTTTGGTTGAACGTTCTCAAAGAAACCAGAAAGAGAAAAGATATTGAGGAAGGGAGACTGGGATTGGTTGGTGTTTCGAGAAATTTATATCGAAAAGAAATACAAATTTTTGACATAATTTGGGAGATTGCGGAAATTGGCTGATGCTTAAAATGTGTGCATTCTGTATACCTGAGAGGAAGTGAGCAAATTGTTTTTTGATTTAAGCTTCATATTTATTTATGTTACGGGAGCGAAATAATATATTTCACTTTGCATGACCACATTAAAAAATAAGAAACATATTCTAAAAATTGTGGGGTATCTAATTTACTTTAATATTTAATTTTAAAAGCATCGATTATTCCTCCTTTGGGTCACCTAGAATTTCAAAGCGCCTTTAACGTAGATGGGGAAAAATCAAGCCAAGCAGCAAGAATACCAGCATCGAATTAGTCAGAGCAGAACATAAACCCGAGAAAAAGAATGAAATGACAACCGCTGTGAGCCTGAGAACCTGGCTATAAAATGACAGAGGAGTTGGAGCTGGAACCAAATTACTCTCGGCCAGGGTGCACAAATAACAAATCAAAACCGGTGACAAAATGATTTAGGAACCGGGCGAAAATGTTCACACGAAGCACCACAATTCAGAGCTGAGAGCTCAAGAAACCGAACCAGGCAGAGGAGATCGGACAGAAACGTTGAAATCAAACAAGAAGCAGCATTGGGGGGAGAAACATGCAAAGATTCTGTTCGATATTGAATCCTTTTGGCTGAGAATTCTTCTACGTGGTCGCCGGCCTCGGATTGGTGGGTCTTATTGTTACGCGGCGATAAAGATCACACGAGTAAATCATGGTCTGCCGCCACTCACTACCAGCTCATCCCCATCCGCATCCCAGCCCCTCTGTCCAAGATCTGGCCTTGACTGCCGCAATGCATGAACAAGTAGTTGAGCAAATGGATACAAGAGCCACACAGGGTTTTCCATGTTGCGCCCGCCTTTGGGATCCGTCATTAGGTTCAAGACAATGAGCAAGGAATTTTGGTTTAATAATGGATAAGCTAAATATCACCCGGAATTCTGTCCATAATTCTTAAAGCCAACAATTATCTACAAGTCGAAGAAGAGCGCGGAAAGTTTTAGGCAGGTTATTAGTCTTGTCAACCTACAATTCAAAGCTGTAAAACTTTTGGCAAGTCTCAACCAGAGGTGTTTTTAAAAGAGCTGAAAGAGATACCTTCAACCGAGAACACTCAACCGAAGATCAACAACAAAGAAAGAGAATGATTCTATTAAAGTGTGTCGTCTAAAATATTAGAATTTTAGTTTAAATGTAACCCTTAAAAAGGTATATAAAGTGAGTCTTACAGAGTCCCACCTTGAGAACTCTATTGGGATTTTTAGAGAATTTTGTACTTGTTTATTTGCATATAGTGAAAAATGCCACATTTGCCACATTTCTTTAATTTTACAATAAAAAATGTATATTGAAAATCAATATTAACGTCTTTTTACTCCTGAAAACTAATGAATATAAAAAAAAATTATATAATATAGTTATTCTAAGAAGATACAGTGTGAAAACAAAGCTTTTACAATCAATTTTTCATGCAATTTTAACTAAAAACAGCACTATTTTCCCATTTTTTATATGTAAACTAAAAAGATTCGTGATCTAATTAAAAAAAAAACATTAAAATTTAGTTAAAATGACAACCTGTTAAAGTAACCGAAGTTTCATGAATTTATCTCAAAAAATTTCTAAATCGTTCCTATAAAAGCTATACAATTTCCTGATCCAGTATCTTGGTATGATCTTAAATGTTCAGAGTTATTAATTTTGGCTAAGATAAGTGATCAGCTGGACAACCCCAAAGGGTTTTCAGAGATGTTTGTTCAACTGTTATTTATGTATGTATATTTCGGAGAACCGCCAGCTGCTTTAATGATCGTATTTAAAATATGAAAGTATTTCTATAAAATAGTCCTCGATTATTATTATTCGCTTGACTTAGACAACCTCCGATGATCTGCTTAAATTACTGAACTCGCACATTATCGTAGACTTTTACGATATCTTCGTCCTGCTTGAGTCGTTTGAGAAATTCCTGGTAGCGCTTCATTTGACGGTCGGTCAAGTTGACCATCGGCTTGTTTGGGCAATACCCCAGTTCGGTGTGGACTATCTTGTAGCCACAGTGCCTCAGTTTGGCCGTTGCCTCTCGCAGGTCATTGGGCTGACACTTGAACAAAACGTCCTTCTTTTCAAAATCTGTGATGCGGCTGTCAGTAGCTTTGCACCACAATGCATCTGTGCACACTGTTTGTTGAAAGTCAGAGGGACTCCACAGTGACTTGGGAAAATTGGCCTGGATTAGGCCTGTTTCCGTAAGTAGGTGACGGTTGAAAAGGCGAGATTTGTATTGCCGAAGGAAGTTGGCCAAGCGCAGCTTCACTGCCTTGAGGTCATTAGTCCTGACCTTGCAAACCATTGCCACCAGTTGTCGACCGTAGTCTATGTGAAGCGAATAGGTGTCGTATTCGCGCTCGTACAGCTCACACTCTCTCAAGATACGCTGAACCTGACTGTAGGGCAGCTGTAAGGGCGAAAGTTGAGCCCGAAGCTCGAAATTCTTCTCGGGATCGATGGAACCTCCGCCACGATGCACTGCCAGCCGCAGCCTATGGGCCAGTCGCACCTCATCTGGTGTATCCTGGTCGAATGGGATCTGCTTTGTGCTCGATGGTGTGATGTAATTGAAGGACTTACTCGAGCTTCTGCTCACAATAATCGGAGCCCATCGCACTCTCTTCACGATCGCTGCCTCCGGTTCATCTGACATCTCCAGATCCAAGCCATTGCGCTTGTCGTTTTCCAGCTTTTTAGAATCGCTGCAGATTATCGCCGGTCTCGGTAATGAGGGATTCATGCTGGCCTTCAGCTTAGTAAGTTTGTTAGGAAGTATTTTGTCCGCGGTTTCTAAGTCGTGCTTGTATGACATTTTGCTTAATTTTTCAAATTTTTAACAAGAAATTTTGTGTTCAGCACGGCCAGGTTTTGTTTAATTTTATCAGTAAAAAGTATTTGTAAAAAATGTTGACTATCAGGCCTGCTACGGTAATCATAAACGAGAAATTGGTGCTCCGGTTTTCGAAAACGAAAGATTATTTCGATTTGAAAAACGGGCTCCTTTATCTGATTGGAATAAAAACTAAATGTTTTTTTTTATAGAAATCAGATCTTATTTACTAAAGGAAAAAAATAGTTTACTCAGTGGTCTATTGATGTTTATTCCACACCACTACAAGATCATTCTGGCCCGTAGGTATTTTCTAAAAAAATTATTTCTGACCCCACCTCAGATATGACCAACCAATTTTTCGCAAAAAGTTTTCGCCAAGGCTGCCATATTGTTGGTGGAACGAAACAGCCAGGTAAAAATACTTATAAAATATAAGAGAATTCATTAAAAACATTAAAGGAGGGTCAAAGATGTTGTTTATAAATAATGTTTTTTAATCTAATTACTTAAGTGGTCGAAATTGACTAAAAAAGTAATTGAGACCACCGGAAAACTTTCTAGATTTTCTCAACTCCAGCAATTTTTGCCTCATCCTGGCTTCGAAACAAGCAATTGTAAATATAAAAGGCATTTCTTCACGTTGTTTGGTTTTGACCAAAAAGACAAGTCAGCTGTTTGAGCAGCAGGAAACGATGAAAGCGATACATAGCAAAAATTAAGCGAGAACCCGAGCAGCTATGGTAAAAAATAAATCGAACTATTTCGCCCAAATCGGGGGGAAAAAAATACGATAACCGGAGCAGACCAGAATAATTAGATATTAATTAATGAATGAACTATATAATATATCATGGATTGAATATCGAGCGGTAAATACTTGAAATATATATGATAAAAATCTCTTATTCAAAATCGAAATTATCATAAAGTTAAAAATATCGATAATATCAAAAAGTTTGATGTATCGAAAATTGAAATATTGGAAAATATAGCACTTAACATTAAAAGAAACGATATTGCTTTAAAGATATATGTATATCGAATTATGAATATATAAATATGACTATTGCAAGGCTATATATGAACTTAATTCATATCGTCTTTGTCGCCACATATACAGAATTGATATATCAAAATTTGTTACTCCTTAGCTATTATCTTTGTATATAAACCTTAAAATATTGTAGAGATTTTGTGTCTTATTTCTTTTTTAATTTCATTGCTCTTATAAATATATATTTGTAAAATAGACTCACCGTATCTGCGGCTGTTAGATTAATGCCCAATCCTCCGGCTCTCGTGGACAGCAGGAAAACAAATATATCGGCTCTGGTTTGGAAATCGGCAACCATATCGCGACGAGCTGAGATTTTGCTGGAGCCATCCAATCGCATGTATCGATGCTTGCGATGCCACATATACTCCTATGAATAAAGGTGACAAAATCAGTTAAGAGTGAAGATTAAATGCCCTCAATCTCTCACCTCTAGCAGATCGATCATCTTGGTCATTTGCGAGTAGATGAGCACACGATGACCGTTCGCTTTCAGGCGAGTCAACAGTGTGTCCAGCACAAAAAGTTTGCCGGCGTCCGTGATCAACGTTTCCTTGTCGGGCACAACAATCGAGGACCAACCTCTGCGGGGCTTGCACAGGGCCAAGCCGTTGGAGACGAGCTCCCTGCCCAGGCTATTCTCACACTGATCGTGTCGGATCTGTGTCCAGGCAGCAGCGCGGCTATCACAGCTACAACAGAAGATGACAAATGAAATGCACCTCAATTAAGAGAGAAACCAAAACTATAAGTTTTCCACTCACTATAAATGCCTGTCCACCGCCTGTACCTTTTGGCCCAAGTCATAAAGGAGGCGGGGCATGGAGAGGGGTTCACATCGATAGCTCCTGGGCTTCCTGGGGCGATGGGCAAACTCGGGCAGTAGCAGGAGAGTGGTGACCTTCACATCGCTCTTGGCATTCGATTTCGTTTGCACCTCCACAGACTCGATCTCCAGCTCCTGCTTGGCCTCCTCAGCCATATCCTCGATGCCCGATGAGGAGTTTTGCTGCAGTATCTTGGAGCGAATAACGCGATGCTCGATGGTTTCCTGCATGTTATAGGTGAAGTAGTCGCCGAAGGCATAGACGCTGCTCTCATTAGTCGTCTGAAAGGGGTAAGGGGGTCATTAGTTTGAACCATTCATTGTATTATCCTCTCACCATCGCTGTGAAGACAAAGTTCCTGAGCACACAGTCGGTGAGCATAAAGTCCGGTATCAGTTTATTTTCTAGCATCGGCTCCAGGAGTTGATATCTGCTGGCGCGTTGTTTTTTCCACCAAAAGCGACGATAGGCCAGAAGTGGATACTTCTCTAGCACCCGGTGGAAATGTAAGAGGCTGCGAATTTATATTAAAAGTGTAATTGCATTCCTGTTTAAATGAGAATAAGGTATTACTCACAAAGCAATCAGCCCGTTGAGGGTAACGTCCACCATATCGCCCACAGATAAATCGCACAAGCGGGTGAATCCAAAGCAACTGTCCACATTTACATCCTCAAACAGCGACCTTTGCATGTACTCGGATTTAAAGATGTTAAACCTGGCGAAAGAAATATACAAAATAATTAATCAGTAATAAATGAATACCAATGCTTGCAAAAGTTTTCAAAGTGCGAAACCTATTCAAAATGGTATTAGAAAAACCTCTTGGGTCGTCCCCCATCAATTTGATCTCGGTCAAAGTGCTTCTTTGAAGCCGTTTCAGAAGAGAGAGTTTCTTTCAGTTGCGCTCTCACAAAGTTTCGTATTTCGTTTCTCTTAATACAATTAAGTGCAAATAAAACTAGAAAGAAAGCTGACTTTGGCACGCCGAAGTTTGTATACCTTTGCAGCTACATTATATAGTCGTCCGATCCCGTTTCGACTTATGTAGATAGGAGGGAGAGTAGTCAGAAACTATTTGCAAACTTTCGTTCAAACAGACGGACGGACATGGCTAGATCAACTCGGCTGTTGATGCTTATCAAGAAATATATGCACCTATTGTAGAGCAGGTGCCGTCGACTTGGCAACGATCTGTGAAGCAATCCGTTCTCGAAAACCAATCTGGGCATCGTATACTCCGCACAGCGCATGAAGAACGGGCTCCTGGCATCCCGCCGTTCGAAGAGCTCCGGATGATTGCACACCTTGCGGAACTGCATGACCAGGTTCATCAGGTTCGAGGCCGAGGAGGAAGACGAGGTGGCAGTGGAACTGCCGCTGGTCAGGTGAAGGAGGTCTTCGATCCTGATCTTTTGCTTCAGAGCCCGGTACAGCAGTTTTTGACGAATGGTCAGCGGACAGTAGACCATGATCTCGATCTTGTCGGACAGTTCGTTCTCCACATCCTTTTTAATGCGCCGCAGCATAAAGGGCTTAAGTATCATGTGGAGTCTGGAGATTTGCTTCTCATCAATGCCCGTTTTGTTCTCCGCATGCGATTCGATGTCCTTGGAGAACCACTCGTTGAACTCGTCGTGGGAATCGAACAGGGTGGGCATAATGAAGTGCAGCAGAGCCCACAGCTCCGCCATGCTGTTCTGGATGGGAGTGCCGCTGAGGAGCAGCCGATTGCGACAGCTGAAGCCCAGGAGCAGCTTCCACCGTTGCGAGGCGGCGCTCTTGATGGCCTGCGCCTCGTCCAAGACCATGTACTGCCACTTGATTCGGTTGAAGTACTTGTAGTCGCTGACCACCAGCTGGTAGGAGGTGATCACCACATGGAAGCTGGCGTCGCGGGTGTGCAAGTGCTTTTGGTCCCAGAACTGTCGGAGGATCTTCCGCTCGCCGGGGGATCCCCAGTAGGGGACCACATTGAAATCGGGCACGAATCTGGACATTTCCTGCTGCCAGTTGTGGAGCGTGGAGGCGGGGGAGATCACTAGGAAAGGTCCCCACACCCCGTAGTGCTCGGCTATGTGGCAGAGGAATGCGATCGACTGGACTGTCTTGCCCAGACCCATTTCGTCTGCCAGGATGCCGCTGATTCCCTGGTCGTAGATGTTGGCTAGCCAGGTCATTCCCTTGATCTGGTAGCCCTTGAGGGTTCCCTTGAACATCTTTGGTTGCGGTAGATCCTTCATCTCCGGCCGGGCTTCTGGCTTTGAATCTGGGAGCTCTTCCTGCTCCCCGTCGTCTTCGTCCTCCTCCTCCTCTTTTTTTACAAACACGTCGAATGCTCTGGTCTTGTCCAGATCCCTTTGCATGGCCGCTTCCGCGTGCTCCTGGGCCAGCAGCTTCATTTCCCCAGCGTCATAGTCATCCTGCCCCGCCAGACGGGCATTGGTTTCCTCGTCCAGCTGGCTGAGAATCCTCAGCTGATCCTCCTCGCTGCCCTGGCCCAGTTTCTTGGACATGAAGTGAGCGTACAACTCAGTTTGGGTGATCAGGAAGTTGAGCTTGCGCTGCTGGCGCTTCACCTCTATGAGCTCCACGTCCTGCTTGCGCTGCTCCTCCGCCTCGCGCTCTTGCTTTCGCCGCTGATCCCGCTCCACGCGCTCATAGCGCTTCCAGTAGGCGAGCATTTCCCTGGTGAGGCGCTTGGCCCGCCACACGGTCTCCTTCATGATCCGCTGGGAGTTGAGGGCGCGCTGTCGCACTACCTTGGCACACATTCCAGCCACCCGCTTGCAATTGGCCAGCATCTCCTTGTGATTGTTACTCTTGATGCGCTGCAGGCGGCCAGTCTCCTTCTTTGACATAATCTGCCAAATGCGGCGACGGCGGGCGGCCAAGGCAGCGGGATTCTTTCGCTTTCGCCTGACTTTGGTCACCTGACCCTCGGCGCCGCCGACCACGTCCACCTCCTCCTCGATTTCCTCCTCTTCCGGGTAGTCGAGAGCCAAGCTCGCCAGCTCTCGCTTGTAATCCACCTCGCCACCGTCCTCGTCTTCGTCATCGTTGGTGGGCAGCGTGTCACCAAAGGTGTATTTTCCCAGCTCGGAGGGTGGCACCTCCCCGGACTCTGGGGATCCGATGGTATTCCGCTTCTTGCGTCCCCTCTTTCGTTGCTTGGGTGTCTTGGGACCAGCCTGCGCCTCGGCCAAACGGGCCATGAGAATCTCCTGCTTGGTGCGGCGTCGTCGCTTGCGCACTCCAGCGGTGGCCTGCTGGCGCTCGGCGAAGACGTCGTGGTTGGACAGAAGGCCACTGCCGTAGTAAGCGTACTGGGCATTCTACAGAGTAAGAGCAGAGTTTAAATATTGTTTTGCTTATATTTCCGTCACTCACCGTGGCCTTTTTGTAGTAGTTCTTCCGCTGACGCTGCTCCCTTATGTGCTCCCTCAAGAGCTGGTGCACATACTCATCCTCCGTAATGGTGGGGTCATCGCTTTCCGTGTCGCTCAGCAGGAGATCGTACAGCCACTCCCGATCGCTGGTCAGGTCGTTGAAGTTATATAGCTGGGCCTTCACACTCTGTCGTTCTGAAGACTTGAAGGTTAGCCAAAGTCCTTACTTGCTTCCGGCAGCCACTCACCTTCCTTGCTGCCCAGCAGACGATGTTTGCTCCTGCCGGACCGCCTCTGCTTGACCACGCCCACCGTGGAGAGGTCGTCGGAGTCCTCTGTCTCCGGTTCCCTTTTAAACTCCCTCTCCTCGGCGCTGTCCTCGTTGCTACTCAGCGGTCTCCGCAGGGCCCTCTTGGTCATGTCCATGAAGGGGCGCATGTTGAGGGCCGCCTCCAATCGCTGGATGTGCAGCGGCTCCGCGTTGGCGCGAGGCCGCGTCAGGGGCTGCAGCACGGGCTTAATGTCCATGCTGGAGCTTGTTTATTTCAGCTTTTAAGTGTAATTATCACGTAATTTGGAAATTCGTTCGGCGTGCGTCGAGGTAAACAACAGTGTGACCGCACCGCGAGCGGCTAAAAAATACCAAAGTAAACCAGTTACAGTGGGCAAAAGTTGAAGCCTAGAAAACTAGGAACTAGGAACTAGATGCAAACATAATTCTTTACAAATTGCAGTTTAAAACCGGAATTTCAGCATGTGTCCGGTTGTAGACTTTTGTAGGCTAGTCCGGTGGGTACTTATAGCTGATATGCTCACTCTCGCCGGCTATCTATGCCATCTCTATCAGAGTTTCAGTGTTATCCAACACTGGTGTGCTCTGGTTCACCAGCTGTTATTTTTGTTATTCTTTTGTTTTGATTTTGTCGTGAAATTAAGTTGCCAAAATAAATTCAATTCAACTAAAAAACATAATTTAACATACATAATTTGTTATGTCTTGGTCCAGCGGTCTGATAAAGGAAATTTTAAATCCTAACAACTTGATTATTTCATCGGAACTCGGCGTGGTCATCGCGGACAAGTATCCCAAGGCGCAGCACCACTACTTGGTGCTCCCGTTGGCCGATATTCCCAGCATCTTCCAGGTGAACTAGTAGTTATACCCCCAAAATCGTATCCATTTAATAGGCATTACATTTTTAAGCTGAATCGAAGTCATCTGCCTCTGCTGGAGGAGCTGCATCTGTTGGCCAGGAACGTGGTTGAGGTAAAGGGAGCCCGCTGGACGGACTTCCAGGTGGGGTTCCATGCGGAGCCTAGCATGCAGAGGCTTCACTTGCATGTCATCTCCACGGATTTTGTATCGCCAACCCTGAAGACAAAGAAGCACTGGAACTCTTTCAACACGGAGTTATTTGTGCCCTACGAAAGTAAGAATACCTTGGGAAACACCAAGGAGTTATTTCAATAGAACGTACACTGGGACGATAATAAAATTCCTTAGGCTACGAATGACAGATTATTCACTATATCGATATTCTATCAATATTTGTCGTGAAGTCAATATATAATTTTGTCGATAATTTGACAGGATACATATACGATAACTATAAATTCAGATTTATATATCGAATTCTGCAAAATAGGAGCCCAATTATCGCTTATTATATTTGAATTAATTATAAAAGATATTTTATATATAATAGTTAATACTATAGCCCCTTAAATAACATTTGGTCTTTAGATAATACCGATATTTTAGGCAATATATTTCATATTTCAAATTTCGATAGACTCAGATTCACGATATTTTATATATTGAAGAAGCTGTTTATCTTGATATATCGTATCGTCCTCTTCCTCTCGATTTACATCGTTACCTTTGCCTTATTGCTTTTATTTCATTAATTTGTATTGATTATTTCCCGTAGAACTCTTCGCTCTGCTGGAGAAGGAAAACTGCTTTTCACGCCTGCCAAAGTCGCTAAGAGACGAACTGCTGAATAAGCCGCTGATTTGCAACCAGTGCGAATTCGTGGGCAAAAACTTGCCAACACTCAAGGAACATCTACTGCAGCACCTCCAAGATCCAGAGCGAACCACTAGTAGGTACTAGTTCCAGTTCTTTCAGCTGAGAATCTCTTCCAGCCGGTTCTCGAATGACAGATGACTCAGAGCTTTCCTCCGTCAATTTCGGTGATTCCTCGATAATTCAAGCAGGTGACAAAATGGAGAAGCAGGAGGTAGACGAGAAGGCATACTTTCGCGATGAGCTGAAGCGCAAGCTGAAGGATAAAAGGAACTTCCTCATCGAAACCGATCGAGCGGTTGTTATCAAGGCCGATTTTCCGAAATCGCAATACCACTTCCGGGTGGTGGCCAAGGAGGAGCTCAGGGATATAACCCAGGTTTGTGATTGTAGAGTGCTTCTTCTTTTTATTAATGGTTCGGCATTGCCTTCAGTTGACGGAGGAGCACCTACCCTTGCTGGATCACATGATGGAGCTGGCCAACCAGATCATCGAGCAGCAGGATCACCTGGAGTCGCGCGACTTTCGCATCGGGTTCAAGGTGCACACCTTCTGGAATCGCCTCAATCTGCACGTTCTCTCGGACGACTTCTACTCTATGGCCATGAAGCGGCCTCGTCACTGGAATAGCTTCCACACGGAGCTCTTCATGCCCTTTCAAATGGTGCACATGCTGCTGAGCCTGCAGGGCTCCATTGAATCCATCTCGGAAGAGAAGTACAACGAGCTGAGAAACCAAAGGACGCTCACCTGCAACCAGTGCGAGTTTTCCACCGACTTGTTGCTGGATCTGAAGGCGCATCTATACCAGCACTGGCAGCGCAAAGAAGGAGAGCGCGAGCAGAAGAAAAAAATGGAGAACATAGTGCGATTGTTGGATGAGGCAAAGCTAAATGACGATGACCACTCGGTGCTGAAATTGGACGATGCAGCGACTGGCACTGCCCAGCCCACACCACTACTAAAGGCTGAGCCGGAAACCAAGGGAACTCCTACTCAAAACTTCCGGGTACAAATCCAGCACGGAAGTGGCAACGACAATTTAATGTACGGACCTCCGGTCAACATGATGAACCAGCTTAATCCCAATAATCCGTTCCGGAATACGCCTCCCCTTAACATTAACTCCTTGAATCCGGCGCCTCAACATAGGCCAAATTACCGAGCTCGCAACCCAAATCAGCACCGAATGCCTGGCCAACATGGACCCCGAGCCCCCTGGAATGGTCCCCGCTTTCCGCCAAATCCGAATTGGAATCCACAAAACTTCCCGCAGCAGGGATTCAATATGTTTGCCCCAGGGCCATCCATTAACCAGCAGGGTCCCCCTCAGTATCCATATCAGCCGATTGGGGCAGGAGGATATGGTCCAACTGGTCCGCCCAATTCAGTGAGACCGAAATGGGTGCAAAAGACTCAGCAGAAGAATAACCAGAATCCGAACAACGTCGAACAGAAACCCAATCTTCAAAATCCGAATCAACAAATTCCTCATCAGCAGAAACCGCCTGCTCAGCATCCAACTCAATATGCACGTTCCAATCAGCAGAATCGCCCGTATAAGAATCCGCAAAATCGGCAGAACTCTAATCAAAACAACAATCCAAATCCACAGAATCCCCAGAACCCCAATAAGCAAAAATACAAAAACAAGAAACCAGCAAACCCAAACCAAGGAGCTCAAGCTTCACAACCGACTAACAATGCAGTACCTAAAACCTAATGTTTTGAATGGAGAGAATTTCTTTACTTTTTTTATAAAAAAATTTTATATTAAAATTGCCCTCAAGGAAAGGAATTCATAGAGACAACAAATCGTTAAACAAACTAAAGCTATATTATCCTTTGGACATTATCTGTTCCTTTAAACTCAAAAAAAAAAACCTAATAAAATTACAAACCAATTGTTTATGTTATTTTCTTATATTTCCACCCAAGTCATTCACACTAAAGCCCCAATAACTCACATAATAAACATTAAAAAAGAATCATAAGTACACTCTATATGTATAACAAATACACCCTACGATACCCTGCAATTGTGCACCACATCACCAATACTCCCTATGCTTCCCCACATTTGTAAATCAGACACATCCACACAGCAACAGTCACTACTAGATTGCAATAGGAATCCTAAAGCCAAGGCCAACGGAAATACCCAAACTCCGCCACTGAAGGTAACGTGAAACTGCAGACAAGTAGACTAAATATTTATAGTCCCAGGCTCCCGTCAGATTGTCACGTTCCCACTTCAAGTTCGAAGTTCAAACCCGAAAACTCAAAAACATATGTATATCTAAGATTTCAATAACAAGATCGTAAAATCATAAAGCCCTTGTATCCGAGAGCGAGTGCATTTGAATTCAAGGGTAAGTCAAAGACAGCTCAATGAATCACTCAAAAGCTCTCTCTAAATTCTCTCAACATTTAAAGTTCACTCAATATTTGGAAAGCTATGGACAGATCGCCTTGATCGCCAACTAATTCAGTTCAGTTTGAGACTCAGAACTATTCAGTTCTTTACAGCAAAATAAATTCTTTGTAATTATTCAGTCAAAAATTAAATATATTTTCGAATTATGCAAACTGATCTTTATAGAAGTCTTTTTTAACACGGTACAGATCAATTTAAGCATATATATTTAACGACTGGTTATCCTTATCGGTGAATCAATGTGTAGTTTCAAAGAGAACAAAAAATTAAAATTCGGTCAGAAATAATTCTGTGAATCCCATCAGGTAAGAATTAAATTTTGTGAACAAATAAAATCCCATTCGTTCGGAAATAAAGAAATAAATTCGGTAAGAGTAATAGTGAACATTTTAAAATCCAATTCGGTCGGAAAATAATTACGTGAATAATACAAAGAACTTGGTGAAATATAAGTTGATGTCCAAATATTCCGGGATTTTTGTATTTGAATGTTTTAACCCAATTATGCATAAAGATTTTATATTTACTTACTTACTTTACTTTAGTTACTGATTGACAAATCTTTGTCCTATTGCAATGCATCAATAATCATAAACATAGGTATTGTTGGGTAGCTTTGCGTTCAAATATGAAATATGATTGCGGAATCCGTGACTCTTACAGTTGAGTTCTATTTTGAGAAAAAAAAAAAAAATAATAAAATAAATGAATAAACATCATCAATAATCATTATTATGCCCTTAAAGGGTATTATATAGGTATATATTCAGTCAGAAGCTTGCAACACAGTGAAGGAGACCTTTCCAACCCTATGAAGTAAATATATTCTTGATCATCATCAACAGCCGAGTCGATCTAGCCATGTCCGTCCGTCCGTCTGTCCGTTTCTACGCAAACTAGTCCCTCAGTTTTAAAGCTATCTGAATGAAACTTTGCATATAGTCTTCTATATACTCTCACTGTCGGAACGGGCCGGATCGGACGACTATATCATATAGCTGCCATACAAATGTTCGATAAATTTTTAGAAAAAAAATTATAACTTTGCTGTTTTTCAACATTTTTACACAATTTTTTAGATGTGTCCATTATATATTATTTCTGAATTTTGGAAAACATTTTATGAAAATCGGACGACTATATGATATAGCTGCCAAGGAACGATCGGGAAATTAATAGAAATAAAATTATAGCTTCGTTGTTTTTCAACGTATATTTATCTACTCTGAGATACAAGCTTTTTTATTATTTTTTGTATACATTTTATAAAAATCGGACAACTATATCATATAGCTGCAATATAAACCGATCGGTAGATGTAGAGAAAATGTAAAACTGGGAATGTAAAACTGTAACTGTCAAACTCTCAACATAATAAGTATGGTAAAATTTAATGAAATAATATCTGCAAGGGTATACAAACTTCGGCGTGCCGAAGTTAGCTTCCTTTCTTGTTATTATTTGCAGTTTATATCTGATCCACTTTTGATTTGGTTAATCACAAAATTTGGTTATTGAGCAATTGGGATTTCAGTTTATCCACCGAATTTTTTTCTCCTGCCGAATTGGATTTTGCTGTTCACGGATTTTAATTCTCACTGAATTTATTTCCGACCATTTTGGATTTATTTTATTCTATTTTTCCTTGAATGAATAGTTACAATGGTTTTATTCTGTTTATGAAGAACACCCACCGAATAAGTTCGAGTCTATATGATATGGCGGCCAAGACTCGGTCTCGAGCAAATATTGAGCAATCTTAAATGTTCTGAGAGAATTTAGAGTGCTGCTTTTGATTTAATTTTGGATTCAGGTAATACATATTATTTTATTCATAGTTTATCTTACTTGTATCAAAAGGAAATATTTATACCATATTTTTGTGTGTATGCATTTTTTTGACTACACAGACCGTCTCGCAATTCTGAAAGTGGATTCAAGATAGAGTTGGTAAAAAAAATCGGACTCCACATCCATACCTTCCTTATTCTTCTGATTGCAGTCGATTTTATGTAGATCTGGAATCGTAAGCCAAGGTAAATATCACCACCTACAATTTTGTTATTTCTTATATATTTTTTTAAAATGGTTTTTTGAATTTATATATTTATTTTAAAAAAATTATCCATTAGTTTTCTGTTTTTTGTTTTGTATAAATCTCAACATCCTTTATTTTTAACAATTTGTTTACATTACATTTAAGTGAAATCTAAAAAATCCTATAAAAACTATACTGATTTTCATAAATAAATATTTTCAGACTCAACTTTCCTGAACTATAACTCCACAAATTGATATCGTTTTAATTGAACTTAGAACAACGGTTCCTGGAAACCATGACTTGCCGAGCCTCTTGTCCAAGCATTTCAAAGGTTTAATTAGAGTGCGTTGGCCAACTGGAAAAATATTAGCCCACGGCTAATTAGGTAGCTGCCGATGAGCAACCCAGCGGAGCTGAATCACCCTTCGCAGAGCCAGCACCACTTATTAAATTATAATTCTAAATTTGAGGAGCGGACAAAGTTTGTCGAGGATAACTGCAGTTCCCACGGGAGAAGGATAACTTTCCAGCTTAATTATCGATTTGAACTTACTGTGAAGTGAGCTTTAAAAGGTGAAAGTTACATTCCTTGACTTGAAAACGGTAAGCTAAATAACTGCTGGAAAATGTACATATGTTACATTTCAAAAAAATTTAAATCAAATTACTTTTAAGAAGAGGACCACATTGTCAGTTTGAATCTGGCCAAAGATAGAGCTCATACTTGTATGAATATAGATATAACTAAATACTTGTAGAATTCGTAAGTTAAAAAATGTATTATTTATTTAACTAGATTATTACAATATTTGTATACTAGTTGTAAACAACACCGACTGATTAGTTTTGAGTCTCAAACTGAACTGTGAACTTTGATGGGGATAGGTCATAAATGTTTAGTCTACTTGTCGGGAGTTTCGTGTTAGGATGTAACATGTGTCGGACTTTGGGATTATTTCATTGGTCTTGGATTTAGGAGTCCTATTGCTATCTGGTATTGACTGGACAATTGTAGGATAGCATGGAATATATTAGCTATACTTTGTAGAAGTGCAAACTAATATAAAATTAAGTGTCTGAACAATTTGTAACCGAATGTTACAAAGATTTGTATATTGTAGTATTGAAGATCACCGACCGATTAATTTCGAGTCTCAAACTGAACTTTGAACGTGGGAACGTGACAATTGGGTGAGGGCAATAAATGTTTATTACATCTTGTGACGGATTTTGGGTTTATTCCGTTAGCCTTAGACTTAGGATTCCTATTGCAATCTGGTATTGATTGGACAATTGTAGGGTAGCATGGAATGTATTAGTTATACGTTGAACGAATGCAAAGTATCATAACTAATATATAATTAAATATCTTTATCAATTCGTAGAATTAAAAATTTCCTTTATTTTTAGCCGAATATATTTTTGTTGAAGAACACCGACCGATTGGTTTCGAATCTCAAACTAAACTGAACGTGGGTAAAGTGCAAGTAGGGTATCATAGGGTATAATGATTATAACATATTGTGTGTTTACGTATAAGTGGGCATGTGCTAATTCCATGGGCTGTGGATATGTTGAAATATAATTATTCGGTCGCCATGAAATATAATTATATTTGTTCCAATTTGCTCCATGATTCTTAAGTTCAATGAATAGTCTTCTTTTATTAGTTTGCATTTATTCTTGAATTTATTTGGGTTTTAATTGGAGCAGCAATGGTGCCGTTCCAGCGATTGGATCGTCTCTCGTTTTAACAATATTCCTTAAGTTTTAATTTAGGCTAAGTCTCGTAGCTGCGCTGCTCGCAGGCGGTGGCAGAGAGACGGCTGTGTAGATATATACTTATGTATAAAGAAATGTTCTTATGTACATTAGTTATGCGCTCTCAAGTGGCGGCGTGAGGGGTATGCAAATTAAATATGTTCGATGTGAATTATTTAAAAAAATAATTTTTTATTTTTATTTAAACTTCACTGGTTACATTAATCCTTAATTTTTATTTTTATTCTACTGCTTAACTTCTGTTTGGAACCGATCGAGTACCGTGTCTGTAAGCAAACCTCTGCTTAAGAGAATTAGGGATATGTTTAAAGAGTTCGATTCAAGAGAATCGGACAATTGGGTGATGCAATTTGTCATCTTGATTTACGAAATTTAATTAAACCGATTAATCTTCAATTTCTTAGTTCGGCGGATATTTGTGTTATCATAAGCTGGACTCAGCTTTGTTTATCGTGGAAGGACCGCGCGGCGTTAATTAAAAAGAGCTTCTGTGAGTTTCTGTTTATGCAAGAAGGAAGGCTGGTTGAACGGTTCCCAGCTAAGAATTGTTTATAAACAAAATTGTTTATGAAATGGGTAAGGCGGCCGGGATCACGGGTTGGATAACTTGCATATGCTGTCCGTTCGTTACAATTATGCC